AGTTAAAAAATATTACTGAAAGGAAATATACTAGTTAAAAAAATTTTTATTAAAATATGGTCAAATTAATTTAAATATATTTAATTTAATTTAATTAAATTAAAGTAGTTATAGTAAAACATGCTTTGAAACAAATTTAAAATATATTAAATCAGTTTCAAATTGTTTTTGCAATGAATCTGAATTAGATTCAATTTCAAATCAGATTCAGATTCAGATTGGATCGAATCAAATCAAATTTGGATTCAAATCGGATTAGATCAAACTGTTATAGTTTCAAATTGGATCGGATTGGTTTAAAACAAATTGGATTCATATCTGATTCATATTCATAAAAATCAGATTAGATCAAATCTAGTTAAAATCTGATCTGATTCGATCTGTTGTAATCACTAATATATACTATAGCTAAATATCAATATCAAATCTGACTAACTTATTATAAATAATAATAGTCTCTAAGTTTGACCTTAAGAACAATATTTTGTTTCAAAATAATTTTTAGATAAATACTCTCTTAGTTCATTACTTTATTATTAATAGATTTTCATTGTTAAATATTTTATCAAGTTATTGAAATACAGAAAACCATAAAAGGAATGAGTTAAAAAAAAAGAAAAATAATATATTTAAAAATATCCAAATGAACTTATAAGAAAATAAAATAAATAAAAAGAAAAAATAAAAATTTCTAGCTTTCTTCAAAAACCTGCTTCTCAAGACTTTTTCTCAATAAGAAATATCTGATTGAGATATTATTTTTTCTTCTGACTATCAAAAAAACTTATTTATTCTTGATCTTAATTTCCTTCTTATGTACTATTTGAATAAACTTATTATCTAATAAAACTTTTACTTTTAAAACACATTTGATCTCAACTTTCTTTGAATATTAATTTTTTATATATCTGTAATAGATGATAACTTATAATAGATCTCAGGTTTTTTTATATAATCCAATAGAAACTAAGCTATATTGTTTAAATATGATATCTTTCAATAATTATATCTAATTAAAAAAATTTTACTGATAAATATCTTTTATTATCCAAAAAATCAGATTCTTAATAATCTTTTTGTTTTATAATAGTAAGAGAGTTTTAAAAGAGATGAAGATTCTTATTAATTATAATATTTTTCAATAACTTCTGAAAAAATATATTTTCAATTATAATCAAAGAGTTGAAACTTAACATGAACTAAAGACTGTTCAGTTTTATTACCTAATTAGAATAAAAAAGAGATTTTGGTTTTGAACTTTACTTAACTGGGATAAAAAGAAAGAAAGATCTTAGCTTGAACAAATAATAATTTTTTTATTACCTGGAGACTTATTACTTGTATCTTATTGATCTTATAAAACTTGTTTTATAGATTAATCCAATTAGAGAAGTAGGATAGAAATGAAGCATTAATTAATTCTACCTATTATTAATAATATCATTAGAACATGTAAAATGATCAATAGAAACTTGTTTACATTCAACTACTAATATATTTTATATCTACCAATTGTATTTTGCAATGAGTTATATTACCTAAAATTCAGGATCAAACTGAGGTGACAAATTTCTTCAAAAAATCAAAAAATTTTGGATAACTATAAGAAGAAAAATACAATGGGCAGACATCTTGAAAATATGGCTTAATGTTGTATCATCTTCTACTGCAAAAAAATCTTCATAAACATGTTTTAATATAAAAGGCTTCAAGTATTATACTATTAATTTTTCTTCTTTGCAGAACTTTCTTGCCATAGGTAAAAAAAACACTATTTTTCTAAAAAAAATTAGTTTTTTTAGAATTTTATTTGTCTGAATAAATTAATAGAATTTAATTTTATATATTTGAAAATAAGTAATTTTAATATTAAATTTACAATAAAAAATTACTTTATAATCATATTTGAGAATTTTTTATTAAATTTATCAAATTTTGGATGTGATTCAAATTTTTTATTAAATTTATCAAATCTTGAGTGTGATTCGAATTTGCTAACATCTCCATGAAGCATTAATAACAATATCAAAACACCTTTCCGAAGCAAAAATGACTAACAGTTTATAATCTGTTAAAAAAACCTTGCAAGAGCTTGAATTCTACCTAATCATCTAATAAATCGCTACTATATTTTCTTTTCTCTAGAAAAGTTATGTCCCTCAAATTATGCTAGATAATCTAAATCTGTTTTATTCACAAAAATTTGTCCTGTGTCAGTCTTGTTTAGTTTTGAAAGCGATATTATTATTTCATTCATCATTATACTAATCAACTGGTTTTGTATGTTACTTGTTCTCGAAGTTCGAGCCATTTTCGGTCCCTGTAGTTGCTGCAAACTGACTATCTTCTTACTTTCTGGTCATTATTTTTTGGACTTTGTCTAATGGCATTTTCTGATCTTCTCTCGTTTTGGACTTTGTCTAATGACATTTTCCAATCTTCACTTGTTTTCTTGTTCGTTTTGAACTTCTCTGTCCAATGACATTTTTCAATCTTCACTTGTTTCCTTGCTTGTTTCAGACTTCTCTATCCTATAACATTTTTTGATCTTCACTTATTTCCTTCTCTTGTTTCAGACTTCTCTGTCCAATGTTATTTTTCGATCTTCACTTGTTTCCTTCTCTCGTTTCAGACTTCTCTGTCCAATGTTATTTTTCGATCTTCACTTGTTTCTTTCTCTTATTTCGGACTTCTCTATTCAATATTATTTTTCGATCTTCACTTGTTTCCTTCTCTCGTTTCGAACTTCTCTGTCCAATGTTATTTTTTGATCTTCACTTGTTTCCTTGTTCATTTCGGACTTCTCTGTCTAATGTTATTTTTCGATCTTCACTTGTTTCCTTGTTCATTACGGACTTTGTCTAATGACATTTTCTGATCTTCACTTGTTTCCTTACTCGTTTTGGACTTCTCAGTCCAATGACATTTTTCAATCTTCACTTGTTTCCTTCTCTCATTTTGGACTTCTCTGTTCAATGACATTTTTCGATCTTCACTTGTTTCCTTCTCTCATTTCAGACTTCTCTGTCTAATGTTATTTTTCGATCTTCACTTATTTCCTTCTCTAATTTCGAACCTCTCTGTCCAATAACATTTTCCAATCTTCACTTGTTTCCTTGCTTGTTTCAGACTTCTCTGTTCAATGACATTTTCCGATTTTCATTTGTTTCCTTGCTTGTTTCGGACTTCTCTGTCCAATGACATTTTTCGATCTTCACTTGTTTCCTTTTCTCGTTTTGGACTTCTCTGTCCAATATTATTTTTCGATCTTCACTTGTTTCCTTGTTCATTTCGGACTTCTCTTTTCAATGTTATTTTTCAATCTTCACTTGTTTCCTTGTTCGTTTCGGACTTCTCTGTCCAATGTTATTTTTCGATCTTTACTTGTTTCCTTGTTCGTTACGGACTTTGTCTAATGACATTTTCTGATCTTCACTTGTTTCCTTACTCGTTTCGGACTTCTCAGTCCAATGATATTTTTCGATCTTTACTTGTTTCCTTCTCTCATTTCAGACTTTTCTGTCCAATGTTATTTTTCGATCTTTACTTGTTTCCTTGTTTGTTTCAGACTTCTCTGTCCAATGACATTTTTCGATCTTCACTTGTTTCATTCTCTCGTTTCGGACTTTGTCTAATGACATTTTTCGATCTTCACTTTGAAATGAGCAATTAAAAATTCTGCCGATGGATTAGGAATAGAAAGCTAGTTGGTTATGAAAGGAGAGAATTGATTTGTTTATTTATACAAGGAGCTTGGTGTTAGGGAATTTCATGATGGAAAAATTTATAGTTAAACACGTTACTCGATAAACATCTGAATTTATAAGATTTTAGAGATATTCACACATTCATATATCGAGTCTTGAGCTAATCGCAAGAATAATTGTATTTATCAATTTACTATTTCATTCAATCACCATTCCGTTTGATATGCTAAATTTACTGCAATGATAATCTTGGAATTACCAAAATTATACAATGTCAAATGACTAACCCCTTTCTAATAGTACCATATTAAATTTTTAATTTATCCAAAGGTTTTGACCAAGCTGGAGAATACGTAATACGTGTAATGTAGACTTTATAATGATAACCGTTATCGATTGATGTTCATGTTCAGGTACTCCACAAATAATTCGGTTACCAGCTCCATATTTAACAGTGTGCATCTTATTAATATTTGTGAAATTGAAAGGATATTGGTTGGCTTATGGCACCTACCCCAACATCGTGTTTTTGTGCAAGATATTGTCTCAAGATTTCAATACAATTAGAAAGATGTTTATATAATGCATTATATATTCCTTTTGAGATTTAGAATTTTGAAACCAATAAATTATCATTGAGTCTTTATCAGTTGGATTCATTTATAGAACTGATAGTGATTCATGTATTGATTATTCAACAGAATATGACATGCAAGAGACCAAATGTATTATTGATATCAAGATATTTAAAGGTTGAAGATGTGTTGGAGGATATTAATGATTATCGATATAGAAAATCTTCATATTTTAAGATTTATAATAAGTAATCTATTATTGAATATGATTTATTGTGTTCAACAATAGAATATATGAAATGATCAATATATGAAATTTTTAGTTTTTTTTTTTTTTTTTAACCTGCAATCATGCATTTTTGACATGTCTTTATTGAGTCATGAAGAGATATTAAAATATTTTATAGGCTTTTTACAAAGTGACTAACTTATTATTATATATTATTAGTTAAAGAACTATACTACTTAAAAAATATAAGAAGTTCATTAAACAAGTTTGGACTAAATAAAACTAAGTCTAAACTAAATACTCTAAGTTAGATTTAGAGAACAGTATTACACTCTTCTAGTAGTTTGGCATTGTATCTCTAAGTCAATTAGAATCATTGTCAACAGTTTGTTACTATGGGTTATTCCCAAAAATAATGAATTGCTAAAATATGACATTGAAAAAAGGAGAAAAAGAAAGATAATTCAAAGCCTTTCAAAAGGTCTTGTTTTATTTCAGTTTTTTTTCAAAAGGGATTTGCCTGATTAGGATATCCTTTAAGCTTCATAACATTTGAGAAACTTAACTATTCTTGAAAATAACTTCAAGAAGAACATTTGAGAAACTTATTCTTCTACCAATATATGGATTCATTTATTACTACTGAAGTCAGCACCATATTACAAAAGAGTTTGTCTGATTGAAATAAAAAAATTTTTTCAAAAACTTTTCTGATTAGAATAGAAACTTAGAGATCTCAACTTTTGTTTAAGAAAACTTTTTTACTATTTAAAAAACTTAATGAAAAATAGAAGTCAGATCTGTTTACTTACTTGTTACTTATCTTTTGATATTATAATTATTTCTTGAAGGTCAAATATATATAGTTGGAGAGAACACCTTTTCTAGAACTTTCTTTCTTATATCATTAATAATATAATGAGATATGTGAGTATAATTAATAAGAGCTTGTTTATATTTTTAAAACTGATATATTTCATATTGACTAATTACCTTTAGTGAGAATTTATACTATTCAAAATTTAAGGTCAAATTGAGGTAGGCAAAATTTCTCAGAAAACTATGAAAGTGGGAGCTTTAAGAAGATCAAAACAGTCAAAAAGAAAGAAAATAAACCTTTTTATTGCAGAAAATCTCTATAACCTTTCGCTTCAAGGATTAAACAGATCTTCAAGTATTTTACAATTAATTATTTTTCTTTTGAAAACTTTTTTACCATTGGTATCAAAGATATTACTTGACTTTTCTTGAACATTAGAAGTCAAGTTTTTTAGTGAGAAGATTTATAAACAATAAAGGAAAGATAGTAGTGACTCATGAAGTTATACTTCAAGTTGTTTTAAAGAAAATATTAAGACTTTATTAACAAAGAAATATAAAAACTTTTTGTAAACATTTTTTTTTGTATATGGTTTCAATATATAAAATTTATTATAGGATTCTATTAAAGAATAATTTTAATAGATTATATATCATAATATAAGTAATAACATATGCTTATATCTAAAGATGAATTTTTAAAGGAGAAGGTAGGAACAAAAGTTAAATATTTCTTACTACAGATAATTTTCTATTATTAAAATCTTTAACTTTTAATATTTCTTGAAATTTATTTCTATTAAAATAAAAAGCTATAAATTTTATTTTTTAAAAAGGAATATAAGTGATCTGTGAAATTTTATATATTAAATATTTTCAAAATCCATTATTACTTGTACTTATAAGAAATTTGAATAGTAATATTAATAGTTATCTGATAATTAAAAATTTAGAAAATATAATTAAGATGAAAGAGAGATACAGTATGTGTTTTTTTCAAATTATCAAAATTATAATTACTATATAGTTGATTTAAAGATATAGATTAGAAAATTGATTGAATATTGAAAAATTTGAAAATAAGGATAAAATCAAGAAGAATGTATATATATATATTTTTTTTTAATACCCGTGATCAGGCTAGCACTGTATGTTTATTAATTATTAAGAAAACCAATTGAGATACATAGGACAATTTCATTATGGCTAAACTAAAATCTTGTACTGACATACTCATCAATGGCTTTTAATTCTCAAAGGAGCTTCAGCCTCTAAGTATAACCTTAGGAACAATATTTTGCTTTGAACTAAGTTTTGGGTGAAGATCCTTCTAACTTATCCATCATTGCTAGCAGGTTGTCACTACTTATTATCCTCCAAGGAACTGAATTCAAAAAACTACAAAAGGGGAAGAGAAAAATAAAAGAAAAGGGGAATATCTAAAAATATGCAAATACACTTCCATAAAAATGAAAAGGAAAAAAGAAATTTAAAATTGCTCCATATCCTCCAAAGAACCTTGGCCAGAAACCTCTTCTCATTAAGAATCAACCCTTATAGGATATCCTTCTTCTTCCTGACCATCTGAGAAACTTATCCATCTATATTCTTAATTATTTTCTTGTGACCGTCTGAGGTACTTATCATCTACTTGAATCCAATATCTTGCTCAACGCTTCCTTTCTTTTGGTCTTGATTTTTTATCTACCTGCATAACACATAATGGCTAATGGTAGACCCTAGGTTCTTATGTGGCTTTTCAGTCTTATTGTATAGATCAAGAAGAATGTATTATATTATATATATAATAAATAAAAATATTAATAATAAAAATATTAAAAATTATGGAATATATTATAATTATTTTATAATAAATCAAAAGAAACTTGAGGTAATTATGAAAATTGAAATTGAGATGATAATAGATAAACAATTTTCAATATTAATATAAAAATAATTGTGAATAATAATAAATATCGATCAATAATTTTTTAAATTGTAAATAAATATCTAAAGAATAAAAGGATAAAAGAAAAAAAAAATTAAAAGGATAATTTATTTTTCATTTTGATAATTTTTTTGATTAATTAATTAAAAATACATATATAAATGATCGTATAAATTATCTTGATTAAATAAAATTGAGAAATTGAAAGATAAAAATTTTTTGTTATTATTAATTGTCTTAATATTATTAAATTTACTTATTATTAATTCAAAGATTGCTTACAAAAAACATGAGAAATGTTGAAAACCAAAAATTAGATTCTATTAATATTGAAATTATAGTTATTCAAGATAAAGATCTGTTTTATTTTAATGTTGTTATTATTAGAGTTTGTATTATTAATATATAATTAAGATAATAATAAAGGATCTTATATAATAGTTTATTTAGATTTGTATATGAATAATAAAAAAGAACAATATATATAGTATAAATATTAAATAAGATAAATAAAATAATATATAAATCAAAAAATATAATTCTTTCCACTGATCCTCTAACTACATACAAAAAGATGTTTGCAAGAAGTTTTACACTTCAAGACTAATAAAGTTTTATTATTTTTTTTAAATCAACTTGAGAATAAAATTTTCAAGAGTCATCTTACAATTCTCACTATCTCTTTTTATATTTTGTTACAAAAAACTGTAGCTAAAAAAACAATATTTATCCTTCTTATCTATAGCAAAAAAGTTCAGAAAGAAAGTAGACTTGACTTCTCTATCTCTTTTTCACCTATCACAGAAACAATACAGAGCCTTGTTTAATGATGAAAAACTTTTTAAAAAACAATTCTACTATTCTCTTATCATAGTTGAGACTTTAAGAGTACTTTTTACAGTTTTTTCTGAAAAATTTTGCCTACATTAGTTTGATCTTGAATTTTAAATAGCACAAAGTTTCTTGTACAATTATTGAATAATAGAAATATATTAGCAATATAAGATATAAA